GGGGGGGGGGGGGGGGGGGGGGGGGGGGGGGTTGTGTCAGAGAACGTCCAGGAAAATGGGGGTGGCGTCTTGCTGGCATCGGTTGGCCCATGTGCAACTACGGCTCCGGCCTTGTGATCCCAGCCAAGAAAGAGAGAAGGGGATGAGGGGAGGAGAGCGGACGGGAGTGCCATGTACCTGGCTCAGGACATAAGTAGCGCCATGCTGCCGAGCTTCGGACGCAGTGGCAAAGGTTCCGGGACATCTAAACCGCACAGCCGTCGTTTCGGTGCTTCGTTGATTGGCCTTCTTCAGCAGCACCACACTGGAGCTAAATTGACCTCCCTTGTTGCTCTAGGTACACATACGAGGATCGGGATACGTGGATAGCACGATTGCTTGCGTGTTAGTGATACCGGCTTGATTGAGGCCAGACAGGGGGATAGGCGGAGAGGGGGGGGGGGGGAGGGGGGGGGGGGGGGGAAGAGAGGGAGAGAGGGAGACGAGAGGGAGGGAGAGAGGAGCTCAGCATACCTCATTGAACTGAGGTGCCATCCAATTGGTCTGCTTGCGGCAGAACTCGATCAGCAGGACATTCGGCAGTTTTCCGGTCCAGGTGCGCAGAGCTTGGGTGTAGGGAAGCTCGCCCGTGTCAGGCAGCGGCTGGGCCGGCGCACTCGGGGCAGGGGCGGATTTCGAGGAGTTGCCTGCATTGCCGGATGTGACAATCCTGGCCTTCTGCCGCCGGGGCGGAGGGGCCGTCGGCTCAGGCGCGGCCGGCGTCTTGGAGCTGCCCTTGGCCGCGGGCTTGGAGCTGCTGCTTGAAGAGGAACCCTTCTTCGTCATCAGGGCGGAGGGAGGATGGGCCGCTCGATCTCGGTCTCCTGGTGCGTGAGGTCCTGCCGCAGAGGAAGAGAAGAGCACAAGAAGAGGGGCGCGCAGGAATGGAAAGACGGAGGGGAGAGAGAGAGAGAAAGAAAGAAAGAAAGAGAAAGAGATAGGCGGAGGGGGAGGGGGGGGGGGATGTCGAAAGGAGATCGCTGATCCTGGCCACGGTCATTGATTTCTATGCCATCTCCCAAAAACGGGGCACCGCGCGGCGCAACCACGCCCGCAACGACCGTGCAATCACCGGCCCGCCCACCCACGAGCCCCCCCCCTCCCCTACCACAGCCATACCACCTGCCGGGACCAGCCAGAAATGGATGCCCGAATCCCAACCGAAGTCCTTGCAAGGATAAAAAAGTTCGACAGTTATCACGTGAGTCCATGTTAGCCCACAACCTGCGCGCGCAGGCGGCCTGCTTGCCAGCCGTCGATGATTTCCCGCCCACACGGCGGCCCCGGGACACGAAAAAAGTCACTTACAGACAGTAGAGGGAGTTGAAGAACGGCATCGAAGCAACAAGGACTCGGTGCATTTGGGGGCGGAGGGGGCTTCGGGGGGCACCAGGGAGAGGAATTCTATGTGATGATTGAACAGGGGGGGGGGGGGGGGGGGGGAAGAGCGAAAGGACCAGGGGTGTCTAGGCCGACGGATCGGACACCAGGAAAGCCAGAATGTCTGAAAGGCTGATGACGCCGTACACCCGGCGGACAGGGATCACGCTGGGGGAGATTGGCACCGAGTCCGGCCCGCCGGTGTCCGTGCCAGCATCCAAGGCGTCCTGCTCGGCGGCCTCCGCAGACGAGGAGGGGGAGGTGACCACAGGGGCCGAGTCCACCGGTGCCGGCGGGTCGTCGTCCAGGATGACCAGTCGCCGAATGCCGGGATACGCGCGAATCACCGCGAAGAAGGACCCCAGCCGGTCTTGCTTTCCGCACGTGAAAACCCCGTGCGCGGGGGCGCCCTGCGGCTGTGCCGACGCGGCGGCCGCCGCGGCGTCCGCTTCATGATGTGAGGTCCGGTGCGCGAGGGCCTCACGCACGGTCATGGTCAAGTTGTCGAAGCAAGCATCACGGGCGAGGTACTTGTTGTTGGGGGAGGGGGGGAGGGGGGGGGGTAATGCATGGCGATTCGTCAGCGAACGGACAGACGCAGCCAAAGACCCGCGACTCGGGCCAAGCGGCACGGGCACCGGAAAGCCGACACACATACCGACACATCGAACTTCTCGTAGACGTCCAACAGGGAGCCAGACTCGTCGACAACGGGCACAGCAGACACACGTCGGGTGGCAAACAGGTCCAGCACGGTGATCAGCGGCTCGGACGGGGTGACCGTGACGACATTTGGCCCGAAGGACCCGATGCCAAGGCTGGCGATGGGCACATCAAACAGAGCCAGCCGGTGGGGGAACTGAGCCCAACGCGTGTAGCCGTCGGTGATGGGAGGGGGGGGGGACGGAAGAGCGACCAGTTAGACCAAAAAAGAGGTGCACATCGGCACACACACACACACACACACACACCATGTGTGCGGCAGGACCGAGAGAGGGCAGGAAGGGGGAGAGAGGGGGGAGGGGGCGAAGAAGAGAGGCTGCCACGCGGCACGCTAGTGCCACCGAGGACATACATAGTGCGCGATGAAGCGCAAGATCTTGAACTGGCTGATAACACCGACAATGTTGTCTGGGGCCTCGGCGATCGAAGGGACCGGGCTGAGTGCCGGGCTGTTGGCGACCGACGGGTCGGCCGTCCCGGCGACGCCCTCCTCCGAGGGGGGAACTGAAACCGAAGCGGAGGAGGGAATGCCCGAGGGAGTGGCCGCGGCCACGGAGCCGGAGGCACTGGCAGGCGGCGAGAGGGACGTCGGCTGCTCGCCGGAGGGGAAGACCTCCGCCCCGGTGGACGACAGCACCGACATATCAGCCGGCGGGCCAGGCAGCTCCGAGGGGGCCATGGCCACGCCGCTAACTGGGCCCGCCCCCGCGGCATACAGCGACAGCGACTCGATGGAGTCATGGAGCTCTGGGGAAGTCCCCCGACGGGACTTGATCACCGCCCCGCCAAGATCCGACAGGGCCTCGGCCGCCGCCGTGGCTGCCAGCACATCGGCCGCCGGAATGGGATCCAGGCCGTCAAAATAGGGATCCGCCGCGGCGGCTGCCAGAAGGGCATCGGCCGGGAGCTCGGCGTCAAGGGCCATGAATGGGGGATCGAGGGTGTTGGTGCCGCCGGCGGCAGCCGCCGCCGCCGCAGCGGCCATCGCCGCCGCCGCGAGATCGGCCACCACGGCGCGAGCGTCGGCCGCCGCGCTGTCGCACAAATCCGCCGACGAGTCAACTGCCAAGCCACGCCGGGACACGGGATACTCGTCGTGCTCGTCCACGGTGTGGAGGGCTGCGGCGGGCCCGCCATCGCCATCGCCGAGCGGGGTCTCGAGGACTGAAGTGGGCTCGGTGTCAGGGGGGAGGGAGAAAATGGGGTGTACACCTGCACGAAGGAATGCAGAAGGGGGGAGGAGGAGGGGGCGGGCAAGACAAGTGATAGGTGCAGGCGTGGAAGAAGATGGAGAGAGGGGGAAGAGGGGGAAACGCACCCTCCGTCGATAGGGGCGCAACCAAGGGGGACCCTCCGGTGCCCGGGTCGACCGGGGCCAGGGGGGACCCAGCGCCGCCGGTGCCAAGGGCCAGGGAGTCAGCCGGATCGGCGACCGGCGGGGCGACCGGCATCGGCACGGCTGGGACCTCCACGGGTTCGAGAATCGGCAGGCGATGGATCCGGTGGGAAACCAGCTCCCGGGCCGCGTCCAGCAGCGTGGTCAGAGGCGAGGCACTCACCAGGTGCGGGGGCTGGTCCAGCGGCGTGGGGCGATAGGCGTAGTCCGCGCAGCAGGGAGGAGCCGGCTCGTCCGAGGGCGAGGGGGGCGACGACTCGGCCACTTGCGGAGAGTCCCCCCCGGCATCGGAGGCCTGCGACAGGCTCCGGTACTTCAGGAGCAGGGAGATGTCGGTGTCACGCCAGCCTTGGATGCGCTGATCGTCCAGGCGGATGCCCCGGCGCATGGCCTCGTCGGGGAAGTAGTGGTAATACCTATGGCGGGGGGAGCGCGGGGGGGGGGGGGGGTTGGAGGAGGCCATGGAGGGGAAGCCGCCCCTGTTAGACGGGAAATGGCCGGGCAAAGGTAGGCAGCGAAGGAGGAAGGAGACGGCCACGTACCGGAGGATGTTGATGAAGTCGGTGACCGTCAGCATGCCGATGATCTTGTGCCGGCGCGAATCGAAGAGAGGCGCCGCGCGGAGCTCTGGTGTGTGTGGGGGGGGGGGAGGGACGGAAAGAGAGGAGAGGGGGAGAGAGCGCGCGCGAGGAGGCACACTGGGTGAGGACGGGGAGCGTTGAGAATGGCAGGAGACCCGGCGTGCGGCGGACCATTTTGCAACAGCGCATGGAAGGCCTTCTTCACGGGGAGAGCGGTGTCCAGGACGACAACGCGCCCGCTGATCGGCAGAGTATCGTAGCAGGTGTAGCTGCGGAGGAAGTGCCGGAACTGGGCGCGATCCGCCTCGAAGGAAGGGAGAATGTGTGCTACCGTGGGGCAGGAATCGGGCAGGTCAGTCCCAGCAACCGGGCGGGAAGGGGGGGGGGAGGGGCGGGGAAGGGAGGGCGACGCTACAGGGGACTGACCAGCACCGACGCCGGCCATCGAGGGGGATACATTGGTCGAAGGCCGAGGCGAAGACCGGGCATCGGACTCCGGGTGTTCCGGCGCCGCTGGCGTGTGAGGAGGGCTCGCGGGAGACGAGACAGCCGAGCGCCCTGGAGACGCGGGAGGAGACAAATCACCCGCTGGGGCGGTGTCGGTGCCGCTGCTGCCGCTGTCGCTGCTGCTCAGGCCCGCCGGGGCCTCATCGCCGGTCATGGGTGGGAGAAAGAGGGAGAGGGGGGGGGGCGAGGGAGAGGGTAGAGGAATGGGTGGGGAGGGAGGCGGGGGAGGGCGAGGAGGAAAAGGAAGGAGGAAGAAAGGAGACGGGGGTTGAGAGGGCCCCGGATCCGGCTCTTGGGGCAGTGGCCCTTGGGGACGGCGGGGGGGGATCCCGCACGGGGGGAAAATGGGGGCTGCCATCTTTGCCCACGGAGGCGCAAGCAGCAGGGGGCGGGTCCGGGCGAATAGTGTGTACGCGCGCAGTTTGAAGGCCTGTGGGTGTGGGTGTGTAATCGGGCCTCATCCCCTGGCGGACCTGCAAGTGGAGAGAAAACAGCCGGTGTCGCCCCCGGGGCGACGGCCCTGCCCCCGGTGTAGCCCCCAAGGGGCCATAACCTTCGTGGGGCAATAACAAACACCCGGGGGGCTCCGGGCGGCGACCGCCGCTTGTGCGCGCCCGCGCTCCGGCATCTGCCCTCTCCCGCCCACGGACTCGGGGAGTCCCCCCCCCCCTCCCGTCCCGCCCCCCTGGGCATGCGCTCCCATCCCCCGCATCTCCCTGGTCCAGACGCAAGCACACTCCGCCCAGAGGAGGAGGGCAGGGGGGGGGGGGGGGGGTTCGGTTCCGTCCGGCCTGGAAAGGAATAAAACAGCCTGCCCGACGTCCGACGCCCCCGGAACGCACAGGCCAGCTAACTGGCCGGTCCTGGGACCGCAGGAGCGAGCAGGGCGGTCAACCCGGCGGGCGTCCAAGGAGTGGGTTGGCAGAGTCGTGAATGATGGTCATGCCCCCGCGTGATGTGTGTGCTGGATGTCCAGATCCCGCCCCCCGATCGCGCGCTTTATCGCCGCCTCTAGTGCAGGCATCGGGCCCACGCCGCTGGCACCCACGCCGCAAGCCACGACACACTCCCTTTCCCTGTCCTCTTTCCCTTTCTCTCTCTCTCCCTCTCTCTCTCTCTCTCT